CATGCCAGTACACCCGCAACCACTAACCCTCTACCCTCTTCGACCCAGTGACACCCCTCAGCAATTGAGCCTGCCCAGATCTCTCAGTGCAGTGGATATATTACAGTGTGGCGAGTTGGTTGAGGTGCGACAGATAAGGGACTCAGGCACGGATCAGCTCAGCCAGTTCTGCGCAGATCACTCAAATCAGGTTGGTCAACAAGCTGATCAACTCAGCCGGTTCCTCCAGAGGACAGATGGTCAAGAAGGGATCCGAGAAAGGGAGAGAGCATGGGACTACCTGGCATGTGACACAAACTCATGCAATGAAACAGGGACAGAGCCAAGTAGTTGTGGGATGGATTAGGTAGGAGGGGTAAGGGTGGTACTGACAGGTAGGTGACACTGAAGGAGGTTGCTCATGTCATTTGGAGATGTTCAGATGATTCACTCTCGGCTTGCTGCATGCGTGGCGCACACATGGAGAAACATGGGGATGGACGGGATACACGAAATGGGGTTGGATGGGGTTGGACGTATAAGGTTGGGGCAAGGAAAATGAACAATTAGGAGAGGGAGAGGGAGGGGAGACGTGGAAGGACTACAGATGGGGCAATGTACTGAGGTGAGGAGAGGGATGCCTGGGACGTTGATGGTGCGTCCCATCTGCCGCACTGCACGCACGCACACATGACAAGACAGCATTCCGCGTTGCTTTTTCATCCGCCCTCGTCACAATCTTCCCTCTTATTTGTTCAGCACTCTCACTCTCAGTAGAGCCGCCCACCCGAACGCACCCCTGGGGCATAGCCAGTACCTGCACACGTTGCTGGCACGCCCCTGGCAAGCGGGCCGAGAGTACTCTGAAGGCACCCACATGCGCTGGAGCAGCACTCGCATGCGCTGGAGCAGCACTCACATGCGCTGGAGCAGCACTCACATGCGCTGGAGCAGCATTCACATGCGCTGGAGTAGCACCCACATGCGCTGGAGCAGCATTCACATGCGCTGGAGCAGCACCCACATGCGCTGGAGCAGCACTCACATGCGCTGGAGCAGCACTCACATGCGCTGGAGCAGCACTCACATGCGCTGGAGCAGCACTCACATGCCTCACGTACCAGGGAGACGACGTTGCCTGCGAGCGTCGCATGCGACGCCCTGCACGGTGGAGCAGTCGCTGCTGGCCGACCACGCCTGCCAGCCGCCCCCAAGCTGCCCCCACGCTGCCAGCACGTGCAAAACAGCTTGACTGCCAGCGAAGGCAGGAGAGGGTTGGACGCAGGGGGTGCAGCCGCGGGCTCACGGAGGTCAGCGGGCACGGTGGAGTGTGGGGGGAGGGAAGCAACGCGGGGAGGGGCATGGGGGCACGCAGGGACCGGAAGAGGGTTGTACGACAGATGAGTGAGGGTTGTTGGGAGAGGGGATGAGAAGAGGGAGTGGAAGGAGGAAAGGGAGGGAAAGGAGGGAAGGCGGGGTGATAACAGGGTAGTAGCATAGGAAGGGGGGCATGGAGAGGCAAAGAGGGGGCAAGGAGAGTTGGAACGAGGAAGTTGAGGTGAGCTGTGCGTTCAGGAGGAGAGCGATTGATCGTTGCAGGACATGCGCAGCGGCTAGAGCGCTTCTGCGGAACGTGGTGAGAGAGAGTCACAGTGGCATTGGACAATCTCGCATCACCGCGCATCACCCTGCATGTCACCTCCCCATACCGCCCCTTTACGCCCGCCCGCCCGCCCGGGCACACTCACAGTCTGCTGCCTGTATTTGCCGCGCCACCACCAGCGTGCAGCTGGCAGAAGCAAGTGAGCAGCAGCAGTGGGAGAAGTGGGAGCAGGAGATGGGTCTGCGTTTGGTATGAACGGCAGGGGGGACGAAAGGGAAGGGGGAGTGGAGGGAATGAAACCGGGAGAGGGGAGGGGAAGGCAGAAGCGAGGCAGAAGGAGAGGGACGGGATGCAGGAGAGGGAGAGCAACCCACTCCCCATGACTATACCCCCATCTTCCCCCTCCCCCCCCCCTCCCCCTCCTTTTCATTTCCTTCCCTCATATGCACCCCCTCGTGGCATATACCTGTCAGGGCTTTTTCCTTGCTTAGGTTGGCTGATGAAATCTTACCTTAGTTCTTTACGCTTGACTTTGCTGTACCACTTGTATTCAACGACAAGGATAGTTCGAGTGTTGGGGGGTGTGCATATGGGGCTGACTCAGTCGCTCTGCGCGATGATACACTGCGAGACGATACACAGTGTGACGATGCACTGAGCAACGATACACAGTGTGACGATGCACTGAGCAACGATACACAGTGTGACGATGCACTGAGCAACGATACACAGTGTGACGATGCACTGAGCAACGATACACAGTGTGACGATGCACTGAGCAACGATACACAGTGTGACGATGCACTGAGCAACGATACACAGTGTGACGATGCACTGAGCAACGATACACAGTGTGACGATGCACTGAGCGACGATGCACAAAGCAACGATGCGCTCCCCAAGTGACGAGGCACACGCACATACGCGGCACGTCCGTAGGGGCGGCTTCACGGCACTTAGCTTCCCCACTGACGCAGCCCCCCTAGGCATCGTGTGCCGCCAGGTCCGCAGTGCGCTCTGCGTGGGGGAATGAGCTCTCTCGTGCTCGCTGTCATGCCACTGGGAAAGCCCGCCGCCGCCGCTACAATGACGCCAATCCTATTAAGGTACGCGTGAAACGCTGCTGCGTGCTCGCCGTTCCGAGTGGCGCCACGGCAGGACGCGGCGAGCACGCGGACGAGCTGCGCTACGGTCATCCTCCTTTGCGTCCAAGCGCCAAACTAAACCACGGGTTTGGCCCCGGCCATATGCCACGCCATCAGCTCTCGGTGACTCAAGGAGCCGACAGCCACCTGACCGTGGCAAGCCACGGCTCCCAGTCAGCGCGCCGTAGCACTAGACGAGCGCGCGACCCGTTATGGTAGTAACACCGCTCTTACTTCCAGGCAGAAGAGGGAAGAGCATGCAGGCAGCGCATTCTCGAGAAATGCAAGCGGCGCAAGTGCGACTTACCGTTGCCTGCACGAATCCTACTGCTGCGTGACGTGGCGAAATGGCGGCGAGCAATGGTGGAATGGCGACGCGACGTATCGAAATGGCGGCGTGACATGGCAAAACGGGGGCGCGACATGCGGAATTGGCGTGACATGTTGAAATTGGCACCCATCACGACGACTGAACCTGGTAGAACCGACAGCGAAGCACAGCGACCAATTTTTAGACGCCTAAATAATACACCGACAACGCACAGCAGAGCGTACTACTTAAAGCCTCGAACGTGAAAACGAGTGTGTGTGTGGATTCTGGTTTGCTTTCCACTTGAGCCGTGGCTCCTCAAGGCGATTAGGAGGGAGCATAAAGACCGCTGACACAGGTAGGCTCTATTTGCTGGAAGCAAACTTAGGATGAACAAATTTGTTCAGGTCCCTTCGGCATTGTGCGAAGCTCCGAACATTGCGAGGTTCCGAGTTCGCAATAAACTGGCCAAAAAACTTACGATTGTCGAGGCAAAGGGTGTACGTCCGGATCGCCAGGCTCGGCTGGCGTTTTAGTTCCTAGGCGAGCCGTTTGGTGTGGGACGCGTGAAGTTCGGAGGTCTGTGCGTTCGGTTTACTTTCTGGTTTGGAGGCGACATTTTAGGGGTATCGTACGAATTCCCGAAGATGGTGGGGATCAGGCTCGGCCGATTTGACGAAGCCGAAGCTGACTCGCGTCGCTTCCGAGCCTTTTGTCCCCACCCCAAACCTTGCGACGGAAATTTCGCCAAGCAAGGTGGTGCTCGTGTAAATGGAGGCTTGAATCACATATCGTCGTTTCCATTTCTCTGTTCGATGGTCATTACAGCCTCCAACCCTAATTTTGAATCTTCTTGTGCCTACCTCACTTCCAGAAATCCACCTTCTCAAGCAGCTGTGCATCGATGGCGGTTTATAGTAGCTGTGCATGGAACCGTACCGGCTCTTTCCGTCCGCACCACGCATTGGTGGAATCGTCGCCAGCGTCTTCGTCACCGCCAATCCAATCTACCATGTGCACTCGCTCTCTATATTAGTTCTATCAATGGCCCCTGCTATCCTTTAATAGCTACCAATAGACATTATTTTCAAGTAGCAGCTACAGAAACGACCCGTCGTCGTGCCCATGTCGCCAGCTGCTACTACGTTGCGGCATTTCAGACTCGAGTCTACCTGATCCGATCATCGCTCTCCCCGCACCGCGCACTCCCGCCTTGCTCGGTGTGCAGCTCCCGCCGCTGCTGCTGCAAATGCTGCTGCGCACTCCCGCCTCGCGAGACGGCGCGCAGCTGCTGCTGCTGCTGGTGCTGCTGCTGCACTTGTGCGACGCCGCACAAGTGATTCAGCCTTCCTTCGGCGGTCCCTGTTGCCTGCTCAGGCAAATCGCGACACCCATTCGCGGGATTTCTGAGATAGGATGGTGACTCGGCCGCATGCACAGGCGGTGCAGCGAGGCTGCCTCGGTCTGTTTCGGGCCTTTCTCTGAGGCGTCGATGGTGCTGTGGATTTCGTGGGGAGGGTTGCAAGGACGGAGTAGTGCTGATGGTAAGCTGCAGCTCTCTGTGTTTCGCTGGGTATTCCCCGCATGGCGTCGCAGCAGCAAGACGTTTTGTCCGGTGCTTACATTAAAAATATTTACCAGTGACATGACAGATATGGGTTATTGGAGATTTCATGATGCATAAAGCAAAAAGCGAAGGGATGATGGTGCTGGGAAGATCGGACAGATTCAGGAGGTACAGTTGTCGCATGCCACATGGCACAGGTTGTTGAGGCGTCATTCTGCCATCCACGTGTTGCAACAATTACTGTCGCTGCGATTGGTTCCCTGCGCTCCTCTCTCCCTATTCAACTCGCCTTGTCTCTCCCATTCTGCTTCTCCCCCCTTCCCCCCCGTCACCCTCTACCCTCCCCTTTTTTCCGCTCATATTGTCCTCAATCCCCGCTTCTCTGCTCCCCCACAGGCTGTGGTCGAAATCACACACGGGAAAGTACAATTCAGATCCCGAGCTTCACATGGCAGCTCGCCAACTTCTCTTGTGGCTTCGGATGGACTTGTATGACGAAGGTGAGAGTCGGTGACGGGCCTGCTGGGTAGGGGCGTGTGTGGATGTCAATTGAGGAAGCGGTGAAAAGGGGGGGAGGAGTGGGAAGAAGGGGCGTGGAGGAAGGGGGGAGAAGGGACGGAAAGGGGGGGGGGAGGGGAGAGTGGGGGGGGGAGGGGGTGCTTCCAGGGCTGGCAGAGGCCATAGAAGACGCCTGGGGGCTTGTTTGGTGGCAGCAGTTGACAAGCTAGAAATCGCCAAGGTTAGAAACATGTAGGGGCTTGGTTGGAAGTCGGTGCGCAGCGGGGGAGATGTGTGTAGGAACCACTCGGGTCACTCGTGGGTGGCGGTGGGAAGGGGGCAGTTGAATAGCTATCTCGGCGAGAGTTGCTGAGAGTCAGTGAAGAGTTGGCGAGGAGTCATTGTGAGTGGCTTTGGGATGGCTTTGATGTGAGTGGAGGGAGTTGATGAGCAGCATAGGTGAGCTGAAAGGATGGTTGCAGCCAAGAGTGAATCTCATCCCCCCATCCCCCCTGCAAAAACCTCCTCTCCTTTTAAATTTCCAATTACGTCTTCCCAACCAACTCCCTATTGCAACCTCCCCCCATCTCATCCGCTCAGCACTTAGTTGGTATTGTACGTTTACGGTGGTTTACGTTTACGTGACTTTACGTAGTTAACTTACGTTAACTTACGTGGGCTAAAAATGGCTTTACGTTTACGGTCAGCTAGAAACAGTTCTAACTGCCCGGAAATATAAGAAATCATCGGACTAAGTGGCTGCATGGGAAGCGCCTAATCTATCACTAGCTTGGTTCTTCTACGCCCAAGCATGTTAGCACATTATTACATCAACTTACAGATGCCCCAAATCTACACAAACATGTAGCAGCCTCTCCCACCTCATATCAGTCAGATTTTTCGTTTCGCGGGCAAAAAAACTTTTTTTTGCCCTGCCCGTGCGACTTTACGTAAAATTACGCGTAAGAAAACGTAAAGGTAAACTCAAGCGTAAGTTTACGTTTACGTGACCCAAAAAAACGTAGAGTACCAACTAAGGCTCAGCACTGCATGTGTGTATGCCACACTGCATTTTGATCCCCTGAATTCTGCCCTTACCACACATGACATTTCTCGCTAATTCACTGTGTTCCCTACCACTTTCGCCTTTTCCCCTTGACCCTCTTTCCCCCTTCTCCCTTACCCCCCAAAGCTCCGTTGCTCCTCCTCCACAGACCTACAGATTCACGCTTCTTTAGCACTGTCTCCCGCTTCCCTCCCTGCCCGCATCCTCCTCATCAAAGCACTGCTCCCCGCCTTTCTCCGCTTCCCCTTATCTCTGCGCCTACTTCTCCTTTAGGGACTTCCGGCCCACAGGTTTGCATCCTCACAGCACTGTCACTCACATCCCTCTCATTAGCCACTGCCTCTTTTCCTTTCTTCTCTTCCCCCCTCTCCACCCCAGCTCTGTGAGCGTTTGCGCTGCAGAGGGCGCTCACGAGGGGGCGGGGAATGGGGACTGCTGATGGGGCTGGCGGAGGCTATAGAGGATGTGTTTGGTGTTGAAGATGGCGGGGCGGTGGTACGGTGGATATATCGCCAACCCCACAGGTCAGAGTGGAGAGGGGTGGGTATTCGTGTGAAAGTTGGCCAAGGGGACGGTGAGTGGGGGTTTGTGAAAGGAGTGGGGGGGGGGGGGGGGGGCTGAAGGGGGTTGAAGGAGGGGTTGCTGCTGGGGCGGGCGGAGGTCATATGTGATGCGATGGGTGTCACCAATGGGTGGAAGGGACCTGGGGGGAGTTAACAGGCTGGATAATGCCCGTGAATGTGTAATCCACATCGACTTGTGTGCCCCTGACATCTGCCCCTACCACACAAGCACATTACTCACAAAGGCACTATCACTTCCTCCCACTTCTTCCCTTTCCCTTGACCTCTTTCACCCCTTCTCCCCTTTCCTTTCCAGCTCCGCACCTAGTTTTTCTACACAGACTCATAGACACACGCCCCAACGGGCACACCGCTCAGCTCTCCCAGGCGCTATCCCCTCCCTTCCCCATACCCTCTCGCTCCGCCTCTCTCTTCCCACCCCCCCCAGCTATGATGCACCTGTTCCTCCTACTCCATGTGTGGCCCGCGGACTTCTGCCACTTCCGTCGCCCACGCGCTGTCCCTTCCTCTCCCCTTCCCACCTCCCCCATCCCTTCCTGCCGTGTCCCCACCAGCTCCGCACAGTACCTGCTTCTCATGTACTGATTTCTGGCCCATAAATCCCCCACCTCTGCAACATGGGCGCACTGTTCACAGGGAACCCGCGGGCTTCCAAGTGCACTCCTTCCAGGGCTCCACCGCACCTTCCTCTCACCACCCTTACCCTCTTTTCTTTCCTCCTCCACTCCTCTCTTCACCAGCTTCACACCTGCCTCTCCTACACCCACTTCTGGCCTACTGAAACCACGCTCCTACAGTACTGCCTCCCACAATCCCCTCATAAGCCACTGTGTTGTTTACCCTCCCCCCCGCTCCTCTCACCCTCCCCCTTTCAGCCCCGCACCTGCTTCTCCCACGCCATCTTCTGCCCCACGGACTCCCCCATACCCACGGCACGGGCGCACTGCTCACCCAAGAAGAGGTTGCTGCCATGGCAGAGCTGCACGGGAGGCTGCAGGCGAAGCTGGGTGAGGCCCGGCTGCTGGGTTCCCCGTGGCGGTTTTTGAGGATGGCCGGGCAGAGGGAGGAGGAGGTGCGTCCGAAGTGAGCGAGGGGTGGTGGACTGGGCTGTATGATGCATCTGTGTCACTCGTAGATCACGGGTGAGGCGAAGCTGGTGGGAGGGGCGGCTGGGTGCCCCGTGGCGGTTTTTTAGGAGTGACGAGCAGAGGGAGGAGGAGGTGCGTTCGGGAGTGAGTGAGGGGTGGTGGGCTGGGCTGTTTGAAACTTGTTTGTCAATAGTGGGTCACGAACAGATTACGGGTGAGGCAAGGCTAGGTGGGTCTGCTGTTTTCCTTGTGGTCATGTCCTATCTCAGGGTAGAGCAGCGGGAGAAGGTGGTAGGTGGTGAGAGGAACGTAGTCTAAGGATGGTTCACCAGCAAGTCACCACTAGCAAGCTTGTTGCATGCCGTCAGTTTTCGAGGACGAGCAGATGAGGCGAGGTTAGGCAGGGCTACTGGGTTCCCAGGGTTGAGCAAAAGGAGAAGGACATGGGCTGGTGAGGGGAGTATGGTCTAGTTGTGGGGAGCACAGATATGTGCTGCCGGAGTGGTTATCGGGTCATACCAGAAATCTGTTGGGCTCTGCCCGCGCAGGTTCGAATCCTGCTGAGCACGAGCTCGTTTGTGGTGTAAGGGGTTTGCTGAGGAAACCGTATCAGCGTCCATGTTACACTATTTTTTTTGTATCAGTATTGTTTTGCACTTCACAGTGCGACGTCACATCAAAGCACAGCGATTACTCTGATAACGTATTATTAATTGCCTAGTGGTCACCCTCTTTGTCTTGTTTTTGTGCTGTTCATTGGAAGAACTTGGGCATGACGATGCGACTGTCGCTCCACACAAGGCAGCGCGCTGGATCTGTGACGTCTGTCACACTAAAGTTTGTCGCACTGCCGTTTGTCGCACTGAGGTCTGACTCACTGGGGTGGGGTCTGTCGCTGAGGCAAGTCGCAGTCGCAGTGGGGTCTATTGCACTGAGTTCACTCACTTGAACTGGGGTCCCTCTATTGCTCGCATTAGGAGATAACTGCTCGCAGGTTGATCCATTGAGGCGCAGACTTGCACGCAAGGGGGAAAGAGGGGACGACAATCGATGTGCGAGTGGATTGGTCCGACAAAAACCTTGCTGCAGGTAGGATGGGAAATCACCATTGTTGAAGGGGAGAGGAGGGAACGAGGGGGATTCAGTGTGCTCGTAGGTCGATCCGACAAGATTCCTCCCCGCACCACTCACTCCGTTCCCCATCCCGCTCTCTTCGCGCTTCTTTTGGCGCCTCGAAAGCCCCTCGCCTCCCCGCGTCCCGCATTCTGCTCCCCATTGCAATCGCTGTGCATAAAGACGTTACCCTAGATCCGTGCTCTTTGTTGCTCTTAAACCATTCCGTCTCACCAACCACTTTACTCACCCTGCTTCCCATCCTGCTCTATTCTCGTCCGCGTTGCTCGCAGCATCAGTCCCTGTCGCGTGCCCACGGCACCCACTTCGCTCCCCATCCTGCTCTATTCGTGCAACGCCTGTGGGGCTTATTTGTAAGGTTGAGTGCTTCCCCTGCGCCTCAAGTATATCCAGTGGGTAACTCCCCCATCCGCTCCTTGTCCCTTGGCAACTTGTTCGAGCGAGGGGGAGGGCGAGTGGGCACGGGAGGTGGCGGCGGCGGCGGCACTACGGTGGCTGGCAGCACTGGGCGTGGACAGTGGGGAGGAGGGAGAGGGAGGGGAGGGGAAGGGGGAAGATGAGGGGGATGGGGAAGGATGAGGGGGAGGGGGAAGAAAAGAGCGCAAGGGAGAGGGGCAGCCACACTCGTGTCTGCACCTCCCAACCCCTCTCTCCGCCCCCACTGCCCTAATCTCACCTTCCTTCTCTTCCCCCCCAAACCCCCCTTTTCTTGCCCTTCCTTCCCGCTTCCCCTCCCTCCTTGTTTCCCCATATCCCCCCTCCTACCCCTTGCTCTCCCTGTCGCACCACTCCGTGCCGCCGCCCGCCCAAGTGAGCCCTGCAGCACCCGTGCCCGCCTTCTACTCCTTCTTGGGGCCGCGCCTGGGCGACGCAAGCGCCGCGGGCAGCGCAGGTAGACTGGCGGCGGGTGCAGTGGAGCAGCAGGGTGAAGTGGGGGCAGGCAGATGGAGGAGTGAGAGGCAGCGAGCATGGGAGGGGGCAGCAGAGGGAGCGGGCGAGGAAAGGGAGGAGGAATGAGGAGTCAAGAGCAGCAGAGGGGACGCGGATACTGGCGGTCGTGGTGGTGCAGATGGTTGGGGGAGGGGGGGGGGGGGGGGGGGGGGGGGGGAGTGTCCAGCACGTTGCTTTAGAAGTCGCTCTTCCCCTGCTCCTTAGGTGTGTTTCGCGCATGTGCGACTGCTGTGGCTGTCCCCCACGCAATGCCATATGACACCACGTGTCTGCAGTATCCGCAGCACCACTTTCTTCTCTGCTTCTCACATTCGTCCCACCAGCGCCTTGGCTCCCCTCTTTCTCCCCCCACTGCCTGTGTCAGGCCCGTTGCCTCAGCCTCTCCTCCGCACGCCTCGCACTAGCAGCATTAGCTCCTCTTTTGCGCGCCTCCCCTACACTACTGCCCCTGGGAGACGACTCGAGGGCAGCATGGGCAGGAGAATGGGAGGAAGGGGAGAGGGAAGAGGGGGGGGAGAGGGAAGAGGGGGGGGAGAAGGTGGGGGAGAAGGGGCGGGAGGGAGCATGAGCGGCAGTTTGATCAATACAGACATGCGCGCAGGCACAAGGCCGAAGGAGGGGGGGGGGGAGAAGGGGACAGGGGCACCCAGGCATGGAGGAATTGTGGCGGCCAGCAACAAGAACAGGCAGCATAGGCAGCACGGGAAGCACGGGAAGCAGAGGCAGCATGATTGGGAGGAGCGCGAGCATGGAGGAGGGGCGAGCACGGCTGCTGGCAGCTGATGCAGCACTCACGGATGCCATTCTCACGGGCGTGATCATGCCCACACCCACCTCCTCTTCCCTGGGCTTCCCCCAGTGCGCGCAGCATGGCAGCACCGCGACTGCCCATAATGGCGGTGGTGGTGGCATGGTGGGCAGCAGCGTGGATTGCAGTCACAGCATCAGTGTAGTGTGGCGATCGGGCGGCGCAGCCTTGACAGCAGCAGCAGCAGCGTGTGCTGCAGAGACAGGGCAGCGTGGCACTCAATCGACAAGGTAGCATGTGGCACGGCGGCATGGGGCAGGGCGGCATGGGGCAGGGGGGCATGGGGCAAGGCGGCATGGGGCAGGGCGGCATGGGGGCACATCGAGAAGAGGTAAGCCATCCTATAGCTGTCCCAGTCGGCCTTCCGCATTGCAAGCCTTGCAAGCCTGGCTCGCAGCCTAGAAATCGTTTTGCTCGTACTTTTTGTCATATCGGGCCAATGTGCCAAAACGAGTCGACCAACCTTGACCCGATTCGAGTCAAATTTCGATTCTACCGAACTCGGCTATCCGGCTCGAATCAACTCGCAAATCAACGTTGACTCGACCTGCAAATGCGTTCCACTCACATTTGAGGAGTGCATTTGCTTGTGGTTAAATTAAACTGGTAAGAATCTAATGCCCGGGCCAAGGAGGCTCTCACCAAGCTGCCAGGCTCGCCCCAGCCTTGCGACTCATGAGCCACCTCGTTCTAAACTCCCCCCGGGGGTAGTCCTCCAGGTCAGGGGATGGATTTAGCATGTCTTACGCTCCTCGCCAACCTCAACCAACGGAAAATCTTTGAAACTGAGGTCTTGAATGCATGCGATTTGGCTTGGAAAGTGTGTAGTAGAAAACCAGCACAGCCCGAGATGCTCTGGTTTTCTATCAGCCCCATGGTCTCAAGCTGACCCGAGTTGCGTGCGAGTCTACTTCAGGAATCTTCCTACTCAAAGTGCACCTCAAACGGCCAGGCCACGAGCCCCTTTGTTCACTCATAGTATAGGACTCACCACCATTTTTCTTCTCCCTTGCACTATAATTTCAGATCCCGCGTGGTGTGCTCACTCCGTCTTCCCTCACCCCGCCTGGCTGTGGTAAGGAGAAACAAGCCACGGAAGCAACCAATCATGGATTCGGTTCTATCCAGTGTGAGGATGTGTATCCGGTGGGTGAGGTTGCATATTTCATGCCACGCTGAGCTGAGATCTTTGACTCGTCGTCATTCCTGGTCCGCATCCTCGTGCAGCCTTGTATCTTGCTCCCTTCCTACTCTTGGGATCCCTTCTGGCCTATCCCTCACTGCCGCGTTTTGCAACCCTCACCTACCTACTTGCATTGATGTAAAGGTGTGATGGGAGCGTCAAATTCTGCTTATACAATGAAGGTTTTTTTTGTTTGGAGAAACTTCAACAGATAAGACCCCTTTGTCTTTGCTTGCTACTTTTATTTTTCTCTCACCTCCTTTCTCTTGCACAACGATTCCCTTCTCAGAAACCATTTTCTGATACCATCGCTGTTCCTGGGACCTTCTGGCTGCTCTGCTCGTTCAGCTCGCTTCATGTGGCTGATGTACAACATCACCTTTGTACCAGCCCCTCTGTGTACCTCTCCAACCTGATCATCTCCTCCCTTGCCTGACTCCTCTGGTTCCTCTCTCTGGTTCGCTCGCTGTTCTTGAGGTTCCTTTTCACTCTGTCAGCAACTTTCCCATCCCCTTGTTTGTGTCCTTCACGGCTCGTGAGTCGGAATGAACCATGAAGGAGCATAGGGTTCATTCCGACTCGTGTGTGACTTCACACTACTACCCTATGCAGTCCTTTCCTCCTCATGGGTCGCCTTCACTCTTGGTATTCATTTCTGCATGCGTGTGTGTATGAATGTTCTACAATATAAAAACTCACCCATGCGGCCTCGGCCTTTCTGGCTACCTTCTACTGGCGCCTACAGGAATACATGGGAGAGAAAACACCTCCTTCACCTGTAACGGATGGGTATGTAGGGAAGAAAAAGAAGATATGCAGTGTAGTAGGATATATAATGCTTTTGAAGGAATGAATGGGCAGAAGTTTTGGAGGGTTCCCAATATCAGAACTCGAGGATAGAGTGCGTGGGTGGGAGATCCATGGTGGTTGTACATGCGTGGTGTGCATCACAACCTTACAGCCATCCTCGCACCACGATTCTGTTCTGGGAACTGAAGAACAAATACATTTTAGCATAAACAAAACAGCCCCGTTGGGGGTGATAGCCTTATCAGAGCGAGGTTTCAATCCTCGGACCTGTGGGTTATGGGCCCACCACGCTTCCGCTGCGCCACTCTGATGCAACCTTGCCGATCTTTTTTTTTTACAAATTCCCTTTCCTAAGTTCTACTCTCCTTCCTCCTCTTCTACTCTCCTTGCTCCTCTTCTACTCTCCTTGCTCCTCTTCTACTCTCCTTGCTCCTCTTCTACTCTCCTTGCTCCTCTTCTACTCTCCTTGCTCCTCTTCTACTCTCCTTGCTCCTCTTCTACTCTCCTTGCTCCTCTTCTACTCTCCTTGCTCCTCTTCTACTCTCCTTGCTGCTCTTTTACTCTCCTTGCTCCTCTTCTACTCTCCTTGCTCCTCTTCTACTCTCCTTGCTCCTCTTCTACTCTCCTTGCTCCTCTTCTACTCTCATTGCTCCTCTTCTACTCTCATTGCTCCTCTTCTACTCTCATTGCTCCTCTTCTACTCTCCTTACTCCTCTTCTAATCTCCTTGCTCCTCCAGGGCTTTCTCTTGTTCCAATGCGGTCTGGCTTCATGCCAAATGCATGAGTGTGCTTGATCCATACTTGTCCCCCCTCCCCCTTCTCCCCGTTTTTCCCCCCGCCAGGTGTGTGAGAGCCGCATGCCAGCAGTAGCAGACCGCGTGGTGCTGCGCAAGCTGGCCCAGGACATGTGTGAGTGGTCGCGCCTGCTGGTGAGTGAGTGAGAAGAGAGGGGGGGAAGAGGAGAGGAGGGGATTTGGGGATGAGCGGTGAGGGGTGATGGCGCAGGGCATGCACGAGTGGCTGCGCCCATGGGTGAGGGGGGCGATGGGATAATGGGGATATGGGAGGCTTAAGAGGAGATAGGGGGGTTGAAGGGAGATGAGGGTAGGTGAAGGCTCGGACAAAAAGGGTGAGGTATGTGACGCAAAGATTGGTTATTTTTTCAAGCCACAATGCCCATTTTTTCTCTGCACCCATCTCCCCACCACCCTCCCTCACCCCTCTTCCCCAACCCTCTCCCCCACCCCTCTCCCTCACCCCTCTCCCCCAACCCTCTCCCCCACACCTCTCCCCCATCTCTCTCCCCCACCCGCTTGCCCCAACGGCCTCTACCCACCCGTCTCCCCTCCCTGCTTTCCCGCACCTCTCCCCCACTCTCCGCACGCCCCACCCTTACCCCTCTCTGCCACGCCTCTCTCCCAACACTTCCCTAAACCTCTTTCCCAAGCCTCTCCCCCAAACCTCTCGCCCAACCCGCTCCCCAACCCCTTTTCCCCCACGCCTCCCGCCTGTGCCTCCCCTCCACGCCTCCTTCCAACACCTCCCCCTCTCACGCCTTGGCCACACGCCTCTCCCCCACCGTCTTCCTCCCCCATGCCCTGATCCTGCCGGGAGGAGTCAGCTGGCGAGGAGGCAGTGGGATCCAGTGGCTAGCGCAAGTCAATGTACGCGCAGATCACGGGCATAGGGCCATGGGCCACAGGTCAACAGGGCTGGACTATACCACCCACCCAGCAAGAGCTTGCTGACGAGACCGCAGCAGAGCAGAGCACATCACGCGCCCTAGGTGTGCGCGTACTTTGCGTGCTGTTCCCTGGCAGTGAGGCCCTCGTAGCGGAACACAACTGGCCTGCGATGGACCTTGGTGTCGCCCGACTGCTCTCCAGCAGTGACCCCATCGTCGTGGGATTGGTCGAGATAACGACTAGGACAACACTCAAGCAACGATGCATGATGGTCCACCCAACACTTCTTGCTTTCCCCGTGCTCTTTGCTCCTCCCTTCCTCCTCCCCCATCGCACCCACCCCCACCCCATCCCCTCGAAGCGTCACCCCACCTGCACATTCCCCACCTGCACCTCTTCCACGGCCCTGCCACTCGTTTCCTGTCTTTCATGCCCTCTTGTGGGTGCGTTGTAAGAAGAGGGGGGGAGTGGGGTGAAGACAAGGCAGTGCCGGTGAGATGGCGGATAAGGGAGCGTGTGTGGTGGGGAATAGGAAAATGGTGGGAGGAAAGGGGGGCGGGAGATGGGGGGGATAATTACTGTGTGTAGCTGTCCATCTGCCCTACTTCCTTTCCCGCCCTCTATGCTGCCATGGTGGTGAGGTGAGTAAGGGGGTGGATGGTGGACGCTGGATGGTGGATGGTGGATTGTGCATGGTGGATGGTGGATAATGCGTGGTGGATTGTGGGAGGTGGATGGTGGGCTGTTAACAGCATTGCCCCGAGTGTGTTGTTAAACTCCAACTGGTCCTGTTGGGGTGGGCAAAAGACTCATTTGGCCACCCTTGTAACAGAGAACTGTGGTCTAAAAACAATGGATTGGCTCTGCTGGACTAGACGAATTTCCAGGCAGTGCGCTCTGCCAGTTATCAGCCTGCATCTTCGTGGCCTTCCCTCCCTTTCTTTTCCTTCCCTTTCCTACTTTCCCTTCCCTATCTTCCTTTCCCTGCTTTCTCTTCCCTCCCTGGCCTTCCCTACATTCCCCTCCCTCCTTCCCTTCCCTGCGTTCCCTACCTTCCCCACCTTACCTGCTCTCCCTCTTTGCAGGGCCTATTCAGCAGGCGCAAGGCCAAGATGACCACTATTATCACGTCTCCCTCTGGGCACTTGGCATTTTCTCTGGCAGGCAGTGTGCTCCGCCTCCTCTGAGCCTTCATCGTCCTCGCCCTCCGCAATAACGAGGAGCTCCCTTCAAGCGACGATGGGGACTTGTGATTGCCCCGATGCTGTAGAATGGAAGTCTGCTGCTTCTGCTCCCCAAGAGTGACAGCATGTTCACCCACACTGATTTCCGGGTGTCATACATCATTCCACTGCTTAATTACCTGTCTGCTGGTTCTTTGTGTCAGGTTTCGGAGTGTACATCATGTCCATCACGCATCACACAATTATTCGTTGGCACGAAATTTTCTAACCTTCTGCAACAACGGACTCACTTGACAATGACCTATACAACAATCTCAAATATCTTGCGAGCATACAGTACAAGCATACAGTATTTACAGCCACAATACAGTACTCTCCCTGAGCCAGGGCTGACGATATCAGGGTAATTACCCTGATTTCAGGGTGATTACAGGCTTCTGACTTGGTGGTCCCTGCTGTTGGGCTGAACGCCCTAGGATCTTTTAGTAGAGTTAAAGTCTTGGGTAAAAGATGTAATAGCGGAAGCGTATTGATAAAAGTCTTTGAACCACCTTGCACTAGTATGTGAGAGCAAAATAAGTTGATTAATGCAAAGAGATACAGGAAAATATATATATGAGTACAGAGAATATGAAGAGACATAATTGTAACTGTTTTACTGTTGCGGTTCGATATAGTGCAACTCGGGCAACTGCTCAATGTCGAGTCAGTTGTGTGTCCTTGCTGTCGCGCTGCGTCAGGTCAAAGGTCGCTGACCTTTGACTTTCTCGTAACCTCCAGCGGTTAAGTTTACCTCCGAGGGTTGACTCGCGGTGCTTCGATTTGAGCTGCTTCGCTTGTGTCTTGAGTTTCGACACGACAAAGGCGCTTAAACTATTTGTTCCGAACACTCCCCTTCGCTTCTGGAGTGTCGCTGATGGTGACGTGGCTTTGTCCAGTCAGCAGCATGTAGTACTCGAACTTATGTTTTCCGAGCTTCTTGGTCAAGTAGTCAGCTGCCATCTTGGACGTGGGACAGTAGGATAGTTTGAGTTTCCCTTTCTCGATCTCGTCCTTCACAAAGAAATATCGCAGGGCGATATGCTTCGTTCTGTTCGTGAATCCGCTCTTGTTGGCGATACGAATCGCATATTGGTTGTCGCAGAACAGAGTCAAGTTGGGTAACTCGGCTAACTTCGCTTCTTCCAGCAGCTCGCGAAGGTAGAGTCCTTCCTTGGTGGCTGAGCAGAGTGCGATACATTCTGCTGCAGCTGAAGAGAGAGCAATTAGTTCCTGCTTGCTCGATTGCCAGGAGATAGGTCTGTCAGAATATTATCTTATGTTCTAGCCTGTAGTGGGGTGCTCTATAGCGAGTACAACCCTTCTAGGGTTTGCTATTTGTATCCTCATTCTTGCTAGTTCAATCCTTTTTTTCTTCCTTCTAATTTTGTCATGCTATCAGAGCAGGTCGATCCCCTTGGATCGAGCCTGTGGGTGGGTTACCACCTCGCTTCCGCTGCTACTTTTTTTTCCTCCCGCCGTGCGCCCCGAGGCGCGCGGCGGTTTTCTGCCCGCCGTGCGCCCCGTGGCGCGCGGCGGTTTTCTGCCCGCCGTGCGCCCCGAGGCGTGCGGCGATTCTCTGCCCGCTGTGCGCCCCGAGGCGCGCGGCGGGCTTCTGGCGCGGCGTTCGCCGCGTCCCGCTCTGGAGGCGTCGCGACGGGCGACGGGGACCCGTCGCGGCCCCGCCACCTCCGGTCGCGGCCCTGCTGCCTCACGTCGCGGCCCAGCCGCCTCCGGTTGCGGCCCCGCCAACTCCGGTCGCGGCCCCGCCAACTCCGGTCGCGGCCCCGCCAACTCCGGTCGCGGCCCCGCCACCGACCCGTCGCGGCCCCGCCACCGACCCGTCGCGGCCCCGCCAACGACCCGTCGCGGCCCCGCCGCCCCACTTCGCGCCCCCCCGAAACCAACAGCGCCGTCCCACCCGGAGAAAGCTTCGGATGCTCCCCGCTCTGGGCTAGATTTTCTTAGATCTACGGCTGCTCCCGTCACACCTGAACCGCCTAGGTCTACCGTTTACGACTCTGCCCTTGTAGTAACCCCTACTCCTACTGCTTCTCCTATTCCCGTCCCGTTCACTCTCCCCCCGGCTGTTGCTGGCTGCAGCAAAGATCCTCCACCGCCCTCGCCCAGTCTTACTCCAAGCACGGTGCGGGTGTGCGTTGGCCCGCCGTCGGCTACTTCCGCTCCCAAGCGTGCGCGATCTGGTAAGTGGGCGCAGAGTACTCTGCTGGTGGGAGGCCGCCGTATTCCACCGCCGGAAAAGCCCGATGAGCCTGCACAGAAAGAAGCTGAGCTACCGGAAGAAGGTGACATCCCGGTGCGCGCGGATACCGGCTCGCCGGCACTCACCAAGACGCAGCTGCGAGAGCAGATGTACCTGGAGGCGAGTATTAATTACGAGACGAAGTGGGCTGGATACTATTCTTGGCTTGTGTTTGGGAAAACCAAGGACGATTTCCCGTACGTGAAGTGCAGCATCTGCATGTCGTACGGTAAGGGGAACACGAGGTACGCCATGCAGGGAGACGACGCAGGCCGTGACTTGCAGACGCAGTCGTTCCGGGCGCACGAGCGTACGGACGCACACATGGCGGCGGTGGACCGCGAGATGAAGATTGTGGTGGGAATCCGCGAGGGGCAGCAGGTGATTTCGGACTTCATCAACTCCGACGTCGAGGGCCGCCGCGCGATACGGCTGATGCGGCCGACTCAGTTCCTGTGCTAGTGCGATGGGCCGATTAGCATGTTTCCTAAGCTAATGCGGCATCTTGCGGAGCAGGACATGCCAGACATTCCCCGGCAGTCGTACGACGTTTATCTCACGCGGGTAGTGACGGTTCAAATTGATTGCAAATTTAAACATGCACGTAAAAAAACTAGCTTGACTATCGTGTACTGATAATTTCTCTGTCCTTTGTTGCAGCTACGGCTTCCAGCAGATGGTCCACAGCATGAGCACTTACCTCATCCGGGTGCAGATGGACCACGTCCTGGCATCACCGTTCCTGGGCATCCAGTGCGACGAGAGCACTGACCGCACGCGAGGGAAACACATGATTGTGTACCTTACATATATGAAGAACCGCCAAGTTGCATGCGAGTTTTTCACTTTGCTGACGGTCGAGCGGTGTGATGCAGGGTCCTTGTTTGAGGTGCTGCTGAACCATCTTTGCTCCGCTGCCGTCGATGTGTCCAAGATCGTCGGCATCAGCACGGACGGGGCGTCGGTCATGACCGGGAGAGAGAACGGATTGGTGGCGCGTCTTCGTGAACACGTCCCTCATCTGTTCTCATGCCACTGCATCGCCCATCGGTATGTGAGCTGGTCTGTATTGTAGCATGTTATCTATGCTGATTGGTTTACTTACAAACCATAATACTTGTTCCCTGCTTTACACAGTGAGGCATTGGCTGTGAAGGACGCCGCTGACTCAAACCTGGATCTCGACATGGTCGACAAGGTGGTGCGCACTGTGGCGACTCTGCTCGGAAACTCCAGCATGTGGAGTCAGCGCTTCAAGTACCTGCAGCGTGTGATTTACAAGACCAACCTGGAAGTCCAAGGCATCCACACGGTGCGGTGGCTGTCTCAAGGAGATACGGTGGCCAGGCTGTGCAAGGTCCTCGGCGCTTGCATCGTGCTGCTTTGGGAGCACAATCACAAGGCGTACGAGATTGTCACCTGCTACAAGTTTCAGTTCTGCTTGTTTTTCTTGGCCGACATCTTGGCAGACATGAACGACCTCAACCGCTGCTTCCAGAGACGAGAGGGGATGGCCCAACCTCATCCTGCTGTGGCAGGCGCTGGCTGTGCTCCCCCTCTCCACCGTGGAGTGCGAGAGGGGGTTCTCCAGGCAGAATGGCATCCAGTCCTGGGTGCGAGGAGCGCTATGCAATGCGCGTCTGGGGGAGCTGATGCAGATATCGCTCCTCAAGTATGAGATCGACTGGCCGGAGGCACTGGAGGTGTGGAGGTCCCTGCGGACTAGGCGCCCTGCGAAGAGCTTGAAGCTGGCTGATGTTAAATTATAATGTTGTGTAGGCTGTAGTGGGGTAGCCTATATGGGGTACACATTTCTAGGGTTGCATATTTGTACCACTTTCATTCCTTAGTGCATTCATTTCTCGTTTCAACTTTCTCATGGTATCGAGCAGGTTCCCTTGTGGGAACTGTGCCTAGGGCCCACCACATCGATTATTTTTTTCCTGCCTGGAGCGCGCTCCCCGAGTCGCGCTCCCCTCTCTGTCTTTGTCGAGCCGCCCTAGCGGCCACGTCGCGCCGCCTTAGCGGCCCCTGCTTCCTAGCCCTTGCGACCCCGTAGCCCCACCTACGGCCCCGGCCCCGTCGCCTTACCTGCGCCTCGGCCCCGTTGCCCCACCTGCGCCCTGGCCCCGTCGCCCTACCTGCGCCCCGGCCCCATTGCCCTACCAGCGACCCCGGCCCCGTCGCCCCACTGCGACCCTGGCCCCGCCGCCATCCCTGCGGCCCCGGCCCTAGCCCTGTCGCCCTACCTGCGCCCCGGCCCCGTCGCCCTACTTGCGACCGCGGCCCCGTCGGCCCACCTCCGACCCAGGCCCCGTCGCCCTACCTGAGCCCCGGCCCCGGCCCCGTCGCCCTACCTTCGACCCGGCCCCGTCGCCCTACCTTAGACCCAGCCCCGTCGCCCTACTACGGCCCCGCCGCCCTACAATGGCCTCACCGCCCTACCTGCGGCCCCGCCGCCCTACCTGCGGCCCCGCCGCCCTACCTGCGGCCCCGCCGCCCTACCAGCGGCCCCGCTGCCCTACCTGCAGCCCCGCCGCTCTACCAGCGGCCCCGCCGCCCTACGCAGCCGAGCCGCCCGCACCGCCCGAGCCGCCCGAGCCGCCTGAGCCGCCCGAGCCGCCTGAGCCGCCCGAGCCGCTTGAGCAGCGGAGGAGCCGAGTCGCGGGTGCCGCCGAGCCGCAGTTGCTGCCGCGCCACC